CCGCCACAACTACAGCACTCGCCACTGCCGCCCTTGTGCCGCTGCTACCGACTGCCACGGCCTTCCATAGCTACTATCACGGTCGTAGCCGCGTCTGGGGGTGGACAGCAGCAGCAGCGTCAGCCAAAGACTCTATCGCCGCAGCACCTTTGCGATTGGGTTATTCGGCAAGGCCCCTTTGGTGCTGGAGCTTGGGATTTCATAGGTGCTGGCGGTACTCGACACCAGCGGCAGTCCCGTCGACTCAAGAGGCTCTCGCCGCAGCAACTTCGTGGGTGGGTTATTCAGCCAGGCCGCTTGGGTTGGGTACTGATACTGGAGGTACTGGACAGCAGCAACAGCAGAGTCATGAAGAGACCCTCTTAGTGCACCAGCTTCGCGAGTGGTATTCTCAGCGGCGCATCCCTAGTAGTGCAGAGGTTGCTAGCCTAGGTGCCTGCGAGCCTGGTAGCACAGGTGCACCTCTTGTGGAGGCTTTACACACCTTCACGCTTGACTCAGGCGCGACTCGCTGCTTCTTCCGTGACTGCACCACAGTCACACCGCTCACTGCACCTGTCCCGGTCAGTGTGGCTGACCCCTCTGGGATCCCAGTCGTAGCCCGTGGCTCCACCGTTCTCAAGTGTCTGGCAGCCCCTTCCGGCTCACTTGCAGGTCTCCACCTCCCCCCTCGTTCACTACGAACTTGGTGAGTAACGCTGTCCCCCAGGACCTATCTGTCACTGTGACTACTCCTGGGGGTGAGCGAGCTCCTAGGGGTGAGCAAGTGGTGATCTGTACAGACTCTCGCACTGGTGAGCACCTCGTCACGTTCACTCGACAGCCTGGGTCCAGTCTGTACACCCTAACCACTGCGTCTGCAAAAGTGGGTGCGTCAGGTCTGGTGACTGCGTTGAGTCAGGTGTCTGCGTCTGGTCAGTTAGCTGCGTCGTGCTCGTGTTGGCTACTCTCCCACCAGACTCTCCTCTAGCACCACCGACTCAGTCACCCCTCTCTGCCGCGTCTACGTAGTATGCACTCCCGTCTCCTTGTCTCTGGCCTTCCTAGGTCCCTTCCCCCCCTCCCGCGCTCGCTTGCCCCATCGTGCCTTCCCTGCGTCGAGGGGCGGCAGTGTGCCGCTCCGCACTCCTCCTCGTTTCCTCCGACCACTGCTCCTCTGAAGACTCTCCACATGGACGTATGGGGCTCGGCCCCCGTCCATGGGACGGACCAGGAGCGCTACTTTCTGCTGGTTGTTGACGGTTACACACGCTACACCACGGGCTTCCCCTTGCGGAGCAAGGCGGACGTCCGCGGTGTTTTGATCTCCTGGATCCGCGCTACTCATCGCCAGCCGCACGAGCGGTTTCGGCGGGACCTTCCAGTCCTGCATCTGCACTCTGACAACGGCGGTGATCTCTTCCGGCCTTCTTGAGGAGTTATGTCGAGACGAGGGCATCGCCCAGTCGTTCATGCTTCTGGCCTCTCCGCAGCAGAAGGGGATTGCTAAGCATCGCATTGGCTTCATCATGGAGGTTGTTCGTACCTCCATGATCCATGCGAGTGCTCCCCATTTTCTGTGGTTGTTTGCGGTCCGATACGCTGCGGATCAGTTCAACTTCTGGCTCCGTGTCTCTGTGCCACAGACCTCGCCCACACAACGTTGGACAGGGTAGGTTGGCGATGCGTCGGCGTGTCAGGTCTGGGGTACGCTCTCCCTTGTCTGCGATACCACCGCGAGCAAGCTCTCTCCTTGCACTCTCCGCTGCGTCTTCCTTGGCTTCCCCACCGACGCCTAGCCTTGGTAGTTTTACCACCCTGCCTCGCGTCGAGTCCTGTCCTCCCAGGACGTCACCTTTGACGAGTTGGTCTGCTTCTACCGTCTCCTCCCACACGCATCCCACCCAGTCCCCCCGCCGCCCCTCTTCCTGGTTCCAGTTCCCCCCCCAGGTAGACCCCCTCCCCCCACGGGGTCCTACTCCCTCAGGTGTATCTTAGGTGGACCCACCCCCCTTGGTTTAGCCTTTGGAGGTCTTCTCTGACACCTCTGGCCCAAATGAGGGGGGTGAACCCGCTGCTGACAACACGGCGGCCACTCGCCACTCTCCACGCTTGGAGACCCCTCCTGATTTTCCGCCTCGACCGTCTTCGCCTCCTCTGTAGCCTGTAGCTGTGGACTCTGGTGCTGCTGGGGGTGGTGACACTTGGGGTGAAAACTTTGGAGGCGCTGGTCCTGGGGGTGCTGAGACTGGAGGTGAGGTTCTTGGGGGTGCTGGTGCTGACTCTGGGGGTGCCGTGAGTCCTAGTGGTGGTAGGGCCGTGGGTTTTCCTCCTGGAGCGTTGGACAACAGCACCCGCTTAGTCGACTCGAGATGCTCTCGCCGTAGCAGCTTCGTGAGTGGATCGTTCGGCGCGACCACTGCTGGTCCTGGAGCTGCTGGTGTTGGAGGTACTTATGGTGCTGGAGGTGCTGGAGTTGCTAGTTCTAGAGGTGCTGGAGGTACTACTGGTGCTGGAGGTGCTGGAGGTGCTGGAGCTGCTGGTGCTGGAGGTGCTGGAGCTACTGGTGCTGGAGGTACTGCTGGTGCTGGAAGTGCAGGTGCTACTGGTGCTGGCGGTGCTAGAGCTACAGGTGCTGGAGGCACTAGAGCTGCCGGTGCTGGAGGTGCAGGTGCTGGAGGTGCTAGAGCTAGAGGTGCTGGAGGTACTGGAGCTGCTGGTGCTAGAGGTACTAGAGCTGGAGGTACCGGAGGTGCTGGGGCTGCTGGTTCTGGAGGTGCTAGAGCTGGAGGTGCTAGAGGTACCGGAGCTGCTGGTGCTGGAGGTACTGGAGCTGGAGGTACTGGAGGTGCTGGAGCTGCTGGTGCTGAAGGTGCTGGAGGTGCTAGAGCTGGAGGTGCTAGAGGTACTGGAACTACTGGTGTTGGAGGTGCTAGATCTGGAGGTGCTGGAGGTCCTTATTTTGACTTCTATAGCACTAAGTAGTGAAAGTGTCTTGAATATAACATCAAGTAATACACTATTTTTTCTTTTAAAAAAGAGTTGTTTGAATATAACATCAAGTCCCACCAGTGGAAAAAAGAGTAATACTAGAGCTGGTGTTGGTGACTCACTGTTGCTTGCACCAGGTGCACTGGTGGACACGTAGGGCTGTACTACAACCTCTTCACCATGATGAGGTGCGGTGCGGTGGGGCAGGGTGTGGTACTGTGTGGATGAGAAGGCCTGTGCTGCTGGGTAATACCAACAGGGGCGAGCATGGACACATGGGGCTGTATGACAATCTCACAAATATGATGAGGTGCGGAGAAGGGAGAGGGAAACGGGGTGTGCACTGTAGTGGGGCGTGGTTTGGTGCAGTGCAATGCGGTGTGGTGTGGTGTGGTGTGTTAGGCGCCTCAAAGGGTGCTGGAAGGCATCCTGGTGTTGGTGACTGACCGTTGCTTGCACCTGGCGCACTCGCGGACGGGGCGGGACAAGCATGGGCACGTGGGGCTGTATCACAACCTCACCACCATGATGAGGTGCGGTGGGGTGGGGTGCGGTGCAGCGCGGTGTGGTGTGGTGTGTTAGGCGCTAAAAGGCACGCTGATGATGGTAAATGACCGTTGCTTGCACCAGGCGCACACGCAGACGGGGCGGGACGAGCATGGGCACGCGGGGCTGTACTATAATCTCATGACTATGATGGGGTGCAGTGTGGTGGTTTGTGGTACTGTGTGGCTGGGAGGGTGCAGGTTATGGGAAATGCTGGGAGGGACGAGCATGGACACGTGGGTCTGTATCACAACCTCACAACTGTGATGAGGTTGGGGGGGGGGGGGGAGGAGAGGGAATGGTGTTGTGCGGTGCAGTGCGGTATGGTGTGCTGTGGTGTGGTGTGCTATGCTGTGCTGCGGAGTGTTGCGGTGTGGTGTGTTAGGTGCTGAAACACACGCCATTGCTTTCATCAAGCGCACTCAGGAGCGGGGGGGGGGTGATGAGCATGGGTACGTGTGGCTGTTCTATAACCTCACTAGCAGTGGGGTGGGGTTGGGTGCGGTGGGGTGCGGTGGGGTACTGTGTGGCCGAGAAGGCGTGTGCTGTGGGTATTGCAGGAAGGACGAGCATGGGCACGTGGGGCTGTGTTAGAATCTCACCACCATGATGCGGTGTTGTGCAGTGAGGTGGGGTGGGGTGGGATGCGGTGTGGGGTGTCATGTCGTACTCATGCAGTGTCCTTATGAAGCATTTCTTGGCTTGCTTCGCCTCGTGGGAGCAGTAAGCCGCTCGTGGTGGGACGTCATGCCCATGTGCAAGTTCCCCCTTCTTTCCCCTCACTGCCTCCTCTTCTCCCCTTTCGGCTCCCCCCCAGCCAGCAACCAAGGCTCCTCATGGAGAATTTCTTGGCTCGATTCGGCTCCTGGGAGTGGGAAGCCATGCCCATGAGGCGAATAAGTCCCCCACCCTCAGCCAGCACCCAATAAGTCCTGATAAAGCATTTCTTGGCTTGCTTCACCTCGTGGGAATGGGGCGTCATGCCCAGCCCATGCCTTTTCCCCTTTTCCGTTTCCCCCGCCCCAGCCGGCAACCGATAATTTTCTTGGAGCATTTTTAGGCTCGCTTTGGCTCGTGGGAGTGGGACGTTATACCCATGCGCAAGTTCCCCATTCGCCTCACTGCTTGTTCCTCTCCCTCCCCCCAGCCGGCAACCAATAATTTTCTTGAAGCATTTTCAGGCTCGATTCGGCTCCTGGAAGTGGGACGTCATACCCATGCGCAAGTTCCCCCTTTTGTTTCCCCACGGTTTCCCCCCACCCCCCTCCATTGCTTTCCCAGCCGCCAGCCAATAATTTTCTTGGAGCATTTTTAGGCTTGCTTCGGGTCGTGGGAGTGGGACGTCATACCCATGCGCAAGTTCCCCTTTCTGTTTCCCCACGGTTCCCCCCACCCCCCTCCATTGCCCTCCTAGCCGCCAGCCAATAATTCTCTAGGAGCGTTTTAAGGCTCGCTTCGGGTCGTGGGAGTGAGACGTCATACCTATGCGCAAGTTCCCCATCGGGCCGCGCACGGGCGAGCTGGCCGTGTGGAGTAACGTGTTTCTGGTGGTGCGTGCACCGGAGGAGGGGCAGTATGGGTTCATGCTGTGTGACAAACAGCACAAGCAGGTGAATGGAAGGGCGTCATGTGTATGATCGCAAGTTCCCGATAGGCCCGCGCACGGGGGAGCTAGCTGTGTGGAGGAACGTGATTCTGGTGGTGCGTGCACCGCAGGAGGGGCAGTACGGGTTCATGCTGTGCGATAAGGAGCACAAGCAGGTGCGTGGGAGGGCGTGGAGGGTTATGGGAGAGTGGGATGAGTGGGGCAGCAGCATGGTTTCTATGGGTAGGATGAGCACGTACGCTGTAGGAGGGGCAGCATGGGTTCGTGCTGTGCGACAAACAGCACAAACAGGTGAATGGAGGGGCGCGGGAGAGTGGGATGCATGGAATGTGGGAGAGAGGGGCAGTATGGGTTCATGCTGTGTGACAAACAGCACAACCAGGTGCGGGATATGGGAGCGGAGGGGCAAGAAGCACAAACAGGTACGTGTCCGAACCATTTAGAAAACTGATGTGGTACGTGCCCAGTTCCTCTTCCCTAATGACGAATTTACCCGCCTCAAAGTTACTCTCACACACTCAAGCATGCATGCACCTTGCACATGTGACCCTGCACCTGCGTCCATCCATACCCCTGTCCCCATCCCAGAACCAGGACAACATCACATTCGACCCTTGCTTCCTCTTCCCTCAATGCCAATCCCACACATACCCTCCCCTGTAATCATGTCTGCCACTCATGCCCCTGTCTGCATCCCTGAAGGACAACTTTGGAGGTCCTCTTCCCCACGACGCATTCACCTGCCTTAGTGCCAATCCCTCCCCAGTATTCTTGTGCGACGTGTCCACCCATACCCCCATCCCCATCCCAGAACCAGGACAACATCACGTTCGACCCTGGCTTTCTCTTCCCAACGACGCATTCACCCGCCTCAGTGCCAATCTCACACATACCCTCCCCTGTATTCATGTGTGCCACCCATACCTTCTTCCCATCCCCAGAACTAGGACAACATCACATTCGACCCTAGGTTTCTCTTCCCCAACGACGCATTCACCCGCCTCGCACACGCCATGGCTGATTCCATGGGTGGCCCTCACCGCTTTGACTACGTGCATATTAAGCGAGGGGACAAGCTGAACACTACCCGATGGCCCCATTTGGATAGAGACACCCGACCTGAATCGTGAGTGCAGTGGCTCGCTGTATGGAAGGGCAGGTGTAGGGCAGATGGAGAGAAGTGCCATGTAGCCAGGTGGCCAGCACTTCTTTGACTATGTGCATTTTTAAGACATCTCAAAAATACTCGCGCTTCTCGTACGGCAGGGGGACAAGCTGAACGCCACGAGATGGCCGCACCCGGGTCAAGACACGCGGCCGGAAGCCTGAATACCCGTTCTGTCTCTAGCGTATGAGACGTGATGGCTCCTCGGGTTGTGTGTGTCGTGTTGCAATCGCACCACAGCAACAAGCTCAAAATCCCATGCAAACTGCGCGTGGATCGAGACTCCCGGCCCGACGCGTGAGTGACTGCTCTCCCTTTTGGTCGTCTGCGAGTTGTAGCACGTACAGCGAGGGGAAAATCTCGATGCTACACCGCATACTCCATGCACAGGAGGAGAAATCTTGAGTCGACTCACAGCTCTCTTGTGCTGCCCGCCCCTCTCGTGCCGCCCCACCCCTCTTCTGCCCGCCCCTCTTCTGCCTGCCTGCCCCTCTTCTGCCGCCCCTTCCCTCTCTCACTTCAGTCTCCTGCAGAAGCTCCCATCGCTCGTCCCTCCAAACAGCACTCTCTACATCGCAACCAACGAGCCAGACCCCCACTTCTTTGATCCCCTCAAAACCGCATACATCGTTCACAATTTAGCGGATTTCGCATCTCTCTGGGGCGAAGGGTCCGCGTGGGAAGCGGAGATGAGGGAGGTTGCGGCTTCGGTGGGTGTGGCGGTGGGGAAGAGCGTGGAATTCGACAGCGAGATGCAGGTTCTGGTGGACTATGCTTTAAAAAAGGTTGCGAGAAGGACAGTGGAGAGGTTTAACGACCTCACGGGTGATCCCAAGGACGGTGAGATGCGGTGGAGAGCAGTGAGGAGGTAGTTGAATGCGGTGGGAAGTGGTGGGAGGTGATTGGGGGGGTTTGGTAGTGAGATGCAGGTGCTGGTGGACTATGCGATCAAGAAGCTTGCGAGGCGGATGGTTGAGACGTCTAACGACCTCACGGATGATCCCAAGGATGGTGAGATGCGGTGGGGAATGGTGGGGAGGTTGTGAGATGCGGTGGAGAGTGGTGGGGAGGTTGTTGAATGCGGTGGGAACCGGTGGGGAGGTGGTTGGGAGTTTGGCAGTGAGATGCAGGTGCGGTGGATTATGCGATCAAGAAGCTTGCGAGGCGGATGGTTGATACGTTTAACGACCTCACGAATGATCCCAAGGAGTGTGAGATGCGGTGGGGAATGGTGGGGAGGTTGTGAGATGCGGTTGAGAGTGGTGGGGAGGTGGTTGAATGCGGTAAGGAGGTGGTTGGGAGTTTGGCAGTGAGATGCAGGTGCGGTGGATTTTGCGATCAAGAAGCTTGCGAGGCGGACTGTGGAGGCGGATGATCCCAAGGACGGTGAGATGCGGTGGGGAGTGGTGGGAGATGCGGTGGGTTGAGATACCTTGCCCTACCTTGCTCTACCTTGCTCTAACATGACAACATCTGCCAGTGTACTTCCTTCCTGCCCATGTCCCATGAGTCGTCCTCTCTTTCCATTCCTCTCGCTCCACACCAGTGCTTCCCCCCCACTCCCGTCCCGCTGCCCCCCATTTTGTTATCTCCATTTCATCCCCTTTCCTCATTGTGTTGACTCTCTTGTCGTTTTCTTTTTTCCCCACGGCATTCCCACTCCATGGCCTTTCCCGGCAGGTGTTGTAGGGCCTTAGGACACGAGGTGACAGGTGTTGTGGGGCCTTAGAGCACGGTGTGCTAGGAGCCACACAACTGATGATAAGGGTATTGGTGTAGCCCATATAGTTGAAGCCGTTGTTAACTGAGCCTTAGTGAGTTTTCTAAGCTAACAGAGCTTAATACCCTGCGTCGAAAAAATTCATAAAGATTGGTTTGGGAGCTATAAAAAACGATGGGTGTTGTGTTTTTCTAACAAACTGGGTGCTGGTGGGATCCCCTTCTATTGTGTTTGGGGCAATGGTTCCACTATTTTGGAACACAACTTGTTCACCGTGTTAAAACGAGTGATAACTCTGTAAAGGAAATACTCCGAAATAGTTTATCCGTACGATCGCAGCACCCCGAAATAGAGCTGAGATGGGTGTCCGGACCAGGTCAAACGCGGTTTCTGCGAGTCCAATTGGGCCAGGTCGGATAAGCCGTGCCCAGTCAGGGTCACAACAATCTCTTAGCAACATGGGCCATTGTCTTCGCCCTACGAATTCATATGCGCGAACCTCGGGAGTATCCCCAACCGCAACAGTCGTTCGTGAGAACGTTGTCGTGGAAGTTTCGCCAAGGAAGAATTGCGAATCTGTGGTTTTGACGATCATCGCCATGAGTAGATCGGGTTTCGACGACATGTTTCGGCAGAAGTGTAACTTCTGTTCCCACCCTTCCTGACTACAATTATTTGTTAGCGACTCTGCATCCTCAACAACTACAATAATCGTCGTTCTTCATCTAGCATAACAGCCACAATAGGCACCGTGAAGTCTGATTGTCAGGGAATTCTCGTTCCGAGTCTCATTGTCCCTTGCTTTGCGACAATAGTAGCCGATCCCAATCCTTAGCTAGCTTTCATGGCTCATTCACGACACCTCCATACGAGCGAGCTTCGCGCTTTTCTGCTCTCCGTCGCGATCGTACTGATTCTGGTGCTACCATTAGCGCGCGCTCAACAGCGGTGCTCGAGCTCCACGCCGTGTGACCCGCCGAGCCTATGCTGCAGGTTAGACTTTTGAGACGTCTCACAAGGCGCTCCTCTCCTCTTCCTGTCAGGGTCGTTTTCATGCTTTCAGAACACCTTTCAGTCCTTCAAGATGCTTTTCAAATACCTCTTCTAGTACTTGCTAAACATACATTCAAAACACGCATTCATTTCTATAACCCATCCACCCATATTTCAGGCTCAGGCTTGCATTCACGACGACCTTTCTCCTCCAATACCTCGCTCGCCCTTGTCTCTTCGGACTCGCATTCCTTCGCATTTACGAAATCTCTTTTTTTTTTTCACCTCTGTTTCTCCCGCTCTGTTCTTGACACTATTTCCCCTTTCTCGAACGTCACCCGCGTTTACCCTCAGCGGGGCTGGCTATTGCGGAACCACTGACGCCTACTGCGGCACGGGATGCCAAAACGGGCCGTGCGGTTTTGGTGAGGATGATTCTGTTCATTTAGATGCTTCAGATTATCCAAATCAATATTTGAGTCATGTTATTCACTTAAAATGCGGATGATTCGAACAATTAAGCATACTCTGATCAGATAAGTCAGGCGTTACTAATTTTGACTCAGATCATCCGCACGGCCTCGACGGTAGTGCCATTCCCTAGCACGTTCAACTCTCTCTCTACATGCTCTTTCATATCCATTTCCTCCCATGTTCCATGCATACACCCATACACACACTAGCACATTAATACATGCACACAGTATGCATGCATACGGCCATGCATACACTCACTAAGCCACCTTTCTGTCCATCCCCATCGTCTGTCTCTCACTTTGATTCCAGCAACGACAACTCAACAGTTCTGCTCCAGCTCATCACCCTGTAACCCGCCGAGCCTATGCTGCAGGTCAGTTCAATGTTTGAGAAGTTTCACAACCCGAGCCTATGCTGCTTGTCCGCTCGCCGTCGCTCCTCTCCCTGCCTCTTTCCTGCCTGTCGTGCCATGCCATCAGAACACACCCTTTCGGTCCGTCGGACCTTTCAGAGCTCACACTACTTTTCATCTACCTACCAATTCCGTGGCCTCATCCCTTCCCCTTCTTTTCTTTCACCTCCCCCTTCCCCGCTGTAGTAATCAACCCTCTTTTCCCTGGCGCCTTCCTCATCCTCTTTCTCCTGTCTCGTTTCTCACTCTCCTTCTCCTCTTTCTCCTGTATCGTTTCTCACTCTCTTTCTCCTCTTTCTCCTGTCTCGTTTCTCACTCTCCTTCTCCTCTTTCTCCTGTCTCGTTTCTCAATCTCTTTCTCCTGTCTCGTTTCTCACTCTCCTTCTCCTCTTTCTCATGTCTCGTTTCTCACTCTCCTTCTCCTCTTTCTCCTGTCTCGTTTCTCACTCTCCTTCTCCTCTTTCTCCTGTCTCGTTTGAACTCTCCTTCGTTCGCAGCCAGTGGGGCTGGTGTGGAAGCAACGACTCCTTCTGCGGTGCGGGATGCCAGAACGGGCCGTGCTCTGGTGAGGAGAATGGTTCAGATGAGTCAGATCATAAATATTCTTTGGTGAGGGCGATTTCGATGATTGAGATGCTGCCGGATAATTAGGATAGCTCTGGTAATTCACATCAGATTATTCAGATGATTCGGATGGCTTCTCCCTCACCTCCGCCTTCCACCTCCCATCTCCTTCCCCACCAGGCGGCTCAGGAGGAAAATCCTCAGTATCCACGGGGGTAGTGGTGGGGATTGTGGTGGGAGCGGTGCTGCTGCTGCTGGGGGTGGTGCTACTAACGGTGTTCTGGTATCAGAGAAGGCGCAGCGCCAAGGCAGCAGCAAATGGAGGAGGAAAAGATGAAGGTAAGTAAAGGCGTGTGAGGGGGTTTTTTGCATTTGTGGGGGCTTACGGATTAATACAGGGCATATGGAGATGAGGATTCACGGATCTGTAAGGGGGTCTCATGATATATCAGAAATTTTGTTCCCCATGCTGCTTTTTGAGAATTCTAAGAAATGTATTTGTGATGGCAGCTCGCGTCATCATAATGCTATGAAGACAGCCTGAAAATCATCGCAGCATGGCAATAACGAGTTTTGAGAAACCTCAAAACTGATGGCAGCTCGACAACGTGCCAGTTTGCCTTTCCAATCCTCCTCATCTCGTCCGACCCCTTTGCACCGCCGTCCCTACATGTGTTTATGCACCATTCCCCCAGAATCAGCAAAATCAGGAGTAGCCGCAGCAGCAGCAGCAACAGCAGCGGTAGCACCAGCAGCAGCAGCAGCAGGAGCGGGGATACGTGGGCACGCGCAATGCCAATGCTACCCCTTGGCTGACGTGCTATGGGCAACTAACAACTGGGCTGAGGCGAATAAGATCGGCAGCGGCGGGTTTGGGGACGTGTACAAGGGAGTGTCGCCGCATGACCCAACGGTGCTGTGGGCTGTGAAGCGAGCCACTGTATTCACCACCGACGACTTCCGTCGAGAGGTGAGTGGTGCAGTGCGGTGTGGTGCGGTGTGATGTGGTGGGGTGTGCCACCTAGCTAGGGTGCATGCTATCAAAGGATTGGCAGCGGCGAGTTCGGGGACGTGTTCAAGGGAGTGTCGCCGCATGACCCAACGGTGCTGTGGGCTGTGAAGCGAGCCACTGTATTCACCACCGACGACTTTCGCCGAGAGGTGCGTGGTGCGGTGCAGTTTACTGCAATGTGGTGCGGTGCAGTGTGGTGTGGTGTGATGTGATGGGGTGTACCACGTAGCTAGTGTCCATTTTATCGAAGATCTGACAGCCGCGGGTTCAGGGGCGTGTTCAAGGATATGTCGCCCCATGACCCGTCCCCCTCTCTTCCCCCATCTCCCCTCCCACCCTCTTCCTCCCCCTCTTCCTCCTTCCTCCATATCTCCACGTCAGGTGGAGGAGATGGCATCAAAGAATCACGTCAATCTCGTGCGCCTCTTAGGCTACTGCAGCCACATTCACTCCCCACCCTCTCCTCCTCCCTTCCCCTCCCTTCCCCTCCTCCCCTCACATTTCTCCGCGTCAGGTGGAGGAGATGGCATCAAAGAATCACGTCAATTTCGTGCGCCTCTTAGGCTACTGCAGCCACATGGACGCGGCAACTGGGGTGATACTTATGAGGCGCCTCAGCAACTACTCTTCCTCCCTTCCCCTCTCCCTTCCTCCCTATCTCCCCGCCAGGTGGAGGAGATGGCAGCAAAGAATCACGTCAATCTCGTGCGCCTCTTAGGCTACTGCAGCCACATTCACTCCCCACCCTCTCACCCTCCCTTCCCCTCCCTTCCCCTCCCCCCCTCACATTTCTCCACGTCAGGTGGAGGAGATGGCATCAAAGAATCACGTCAATCTCGTGCGCCTCTTAGGCTACTGCGTCCCGTCTCTCCCCCCGCTTCCCCACTTCCCCACTTCCCCTTTCCTCCCCCGTCTCCCCTCCCCCCGCCCTCCCAAACTTCACCATATCAGGTGGAGGAGATGGCATCAAAGAATCACGTGAACCTCGTGCGCCTCTTAGGCCACTGCAGCCACATGGACGCGGCAACTGGAGGCATAGAGCAGATTCTCATCTATGAGTACATGCACAATGGTGACCTCGAGAGATGGGTGGGACCAGGTGGGTTTCGAGACTCAAAAGGCACCTTGAGGCAACTGGGGGCATAGAGCAGATTCTCATCTATGAGTTCATGCACAACGGTGACCTTGAGAGATGGGTGGGACCAGGTGGGTTGTGAGTCGACTCAAGGGACACCTCGTGATGGCTGGGGGAATGGCTGGGGGAATGGCTGGGGGCATAGAGCAGATTCTTATCTATGAGTACATGCACAACGGTGACCTCGAGAGATGGGTGGGACCAGGTGGGTGCTTGGATGGGATGCGTTGATAGCCTGAATCGATGATGATCCCCAGAGAAATGCTGCTCGTCCGTCCATCCCTCGCAACCTGTGGCAGCGCTTTGACGTGCTCATAGGGGTGGCTCAGGGCCTTCAGTATCTCCGTAGCTTCAGCATCCATCCCCATGCTTCTCACTTCAAGATTTTCTCCCTATTTTATTCCACACACTCTTTGCCCTCCCCACCACAACCACCACCAGGAGTGAAAGTGCCTCTGACTCTGAGGCAGCGCTTGGACGTGCTCATAGGGGTGGCGCAGGGCTTGCAGTATTTACACAGCTTTAGCATCGTGCATCGTGATATCAAGCCCGCCAACATCCTTCTCGACAGGAACATGCAGGTGAGCTTGTTCTGAGTGTGCCTTTCTTTGTAACCTTCACTATGGGAGAGAGTACCTTCACAGCTTCAATATCATGCATCGTGATATCAAGCTTGCAAATATTCTGCTTGACAAAAACATGCAGGTACATTGATGTGTGCATTTATTGATTAATGGTCGCACGTATGAGCACACATATGACACCACTCTCTCGATCGATGACAACATACCTGTCTCCATCCACAATTGTCGTGACTTTTATTCTTCGGCTCCATCTCCTATCCCAAACTCACTACTTACCCTCATCGCCCTCCTCCTTCCCTTTATTGCATGCGTTTAAGTACTGGCCCTCTTTCTCGTCTCCGCCGCCCTCTCTCTCTCCCCCACTCTCCAGGCACAGTTTGTTGCTTCGCTCTCTCCTCACTCTCTCCTTCTCTCTCTCCCCGCCTCTCTTCAGGCCAAGGTGGCTGACTTTGGGCTGGTGCGGATAAGCAAAGGCACCACTGTTTTCTCTACGCTCTCTCCTCACTCTCTCCACCTCTTTCTCTCCACCTCTTTCTCTCCACCTCTTTCTCTCCACCTCTTTCTCTCCACCTCTTTCTCTCCACTCTCCCCGCCTCTCTTCAGGCCAAGGTGGCTGACTTTGGGCTTGTGCGGATAAGCAAAGGCACCACTGTCGGTGCAACGCGGGTGATGGGAACACCGGGCTATGTGGATCCAGCATATTCATGGACACAGAAGGCCACTCCTGCAGCGGACGTGTACAGGTGAGTGAAGATGCAAGGGAGAGTGCCATGTTGGTAGCACGGGTGAATGCACGGGTGATGGGAGCACCGGGCTATGTGGGTCCAGCATATTCATGGACACAGAAGGCCAGAGAAGGCACGAGTTTGTGCCAATTACCAATCATTGCACACCATCATTGCACACCATCATTGCACACATGCCTGTGCCCGTCTGGTGCTGCTGTCAGTCCTCACAGCACGCAAGGGTGTGCACTACTTGGTGACAATCAAACATGACAGTCAATCCCATGCCACACTGCCTTTCAAGAGCTGCTATGCTATGCATGTGCCTTTTGTGCTTGTCCCGTGTCCTTACAGCTTTGGAGTGGTGATGCTGTCAGTCGTTACTGCATGCAAAGGAGTGATCTACTTGGCAGGCCACACAGCCGTGAATTCTCTGGAGGACAACCGGATGAAGCTCACTGATTGGGTGAGTCTGCTAGCGAGAAAGGATGAAAAAAACGATTATTGATTGATCAACGGATGACAAACATATTAAGATTTGTGTGCTCGCTACGTGAAAAGGACGCACAGGGTGATTGAGGAAGATTGTGAGAGGTGTCTATATGGATGCAGGCAGATTGACCCCTCACAAGGGGAGAAAATGTTGCGAAACATTCTCTTAACAAAACAAGCATATGCTGGCCAGTCGAAATCTTGGCAAACATTTTGACTACTCTCTTGAGCCTCTTGTGCCTCTTGTATCCCTCCTCCCCCCGTTGCATTCTCCCCTTCCAGGAGCAACCCCTAGTGGGTGCAGGGAATGCATACGTGATCATGACGTGCTCATTGGTTGCAGATAGGGTCTAGTACCCTTGTATGTCTTCCCCCATCCAGGTGCCACCCCTAGTGGGCGCGGGAAATGCTTACACCATCAAGGACTCGCGTCTAGACGCCCCCAGCCATGTCATCGTCTCATGCCTCTTATGCCTTTTGTATCACTTCTGTCTCTCCCACTACCTCATCCCTCACCCCACCCCTCCAGGTGCAACCCCTAGTGGATGCAGGGGATGCAGACACCATCAAAGACCCACGTCTAGACGCCCCTAACCACATCATCCTCCGCCTCGCCCGCTTCGCCCTCTCTTGCACAACCATGCCCGTGACCACCCGCCCCACCATGGCCCGTATTGTATCCGAGCTTATGGCCATGAAAGAAGAGTGCTTTGGTCCGGAAACCGACCCTGCGTTAGAGAATGTGGATAGGCATTTGGAGAGCATGAGGGTCTCGAGCCTCTCCCAGGAGCTTCGGAGAGCAAGCCGTGCTTCGGAACGGGAAGGAGCGTCAGGTTTCAGTAGTACGATGGGGTCAATTGAGGAAAATGGGGGCTATAGGTAGCTTTGATGGATGTGTGCTCTGTGTCGTATAAATGAGTCGAATAAAAGGAATTTGGCCTGGTAAAAAGCCTTTATTCAACCAAAGAATTGACCAACAGTTGATGGGAGGTAAGGTGAGGTGATTTCCCTGGCCAAGGGCTTGTTCGCAAATTTCCTGATGTATGCTTTCAATGACGCGTGAGGTGACCAAGGTACCAAAGCTGTACCCGTTGACATTGTACACTGGTACTGAACATTTGTTAGCGTTACCTTTTCTACACCTGGTGCAAATTGTTTTAGGGAACGAGGGCGACAATAAGGGGTTGACCAAATACCCTTCGAACCGGCTCCGACTGAGGTTCTAGCAGGCCAACGACGATTGTAACTGGCTGCGTGTCGATTGATTCGCATTCCACAGAATGCGACTTGTAACTTGTCGCTCTCGTCTGTGTTTCGCAGCACTCGTTCCGGTGCTGGTCTGCATCCAGCCTGAGAGGTGCTGTTTCGTAGCAGATCGCGAACTGTCGGACGGGTGGTGCGCAGCATGCTTTTTGTCGGACCAGAAACGAAGTCAGCGAAATGCCTCGGGCTGACGCTGACGAGCCCCCAAAAAACTAGTCCTGTCGTGTGAGACACTCGTGCGCTTCGCGAGGCTGATAGTATCCACCCAGTTGCTATTGTTCAGAAAAGTTGTCTGCGGTGAGGGAATGAAATCGCCATAAGGGCCGAAGAGAAAACGGTCGTGGATTTGTCGTACCTCGCCACTGGCGAAATGTTCTTCGCTGGAAGCGGTTACCATATTTACTCTGACGTCATCAGTTACCCTATACGTGCCGTAGCCGCAACTCATGTTCCCTCTAACAATCACCTCCCTGATATCAGGACCACCTGACCGAATTCCTGACTACAAAAATTGTCATCAGTCGCAGTCTCATCAGCGGATTTACCAACAACAATAATCGTCGGTTTTCAGAAAGGGCAAGCACGCCCGAGCAGAAACCGTATAATAGTAAGGATTCTCGCCATACATCTCAGTATAATTTTTTTCTCGTCGTTTCTTCTCAGTGTCATTATTATCACAGCGGATAGCAATCCCTTTGCTAGTTTCCATGGCTCCTCCGTGGCGCCTCCACTCTGCGAGCGTGCTTCGCGCTTCCGGCACCTTATTTCTCTCCATCGCCATCGCATTTATTCTGATGCCAGTAGCGCGCGCTCAACAGTGCTCGAGCTCCTCGCCGTGTAACCCGCCGAGCCTATGCTGCAGGTTAGTTTTAAGACGTCTCACAACCTGAGCCTATCATGCTGCAGGTCCGTCATGAGATTTTTTTACAAACCTCGAAGTTCTCTCAACAGTGTTCGACATCACAGCCGTGTGATTCGCCGAGCGTATATTATTGCTGGCCGTCTAGATTCTTTCAGAACACGCGCTCCTCCTTCCTGTCGTTTCATGCTTTCAGAACACGCCGTTTCTGGTCGTTTCGTGCTTTCAGAGCGACAGTCATTTTCATCCTCACGAATTTGACTACACAACAATCATTTCCCTTGCACCTGCCTGGTTTCTCACCCCCTTTTGTACGCAGCAAGTGGGGTTGGTGCGGCAGCAACGTCTCCTACTGCGGTGACGGATGCCAGAACGGGCCGTGTTCTGGTGAGGCTGATGGTTCAAATGATTCAGATAATTCATATGCTTCGAACAATTTAGATAATGTGGAATATTCTGAAAATTTGAATGTGCCTGCTCCCGTTCATCGCTCACTATCCTTTGACCGTTTTCATTCCCATGCACACCCACACGAGGCACAGGCAGTGGCTCAGCTTCCTTTCGCCGCATCACCTACTTCCCCAACTGGAGCGGCATCGACCCCAGCACCATCCAAGTGGACCACTTCACTCACATCGTCTACGCCTTTGCTGCCATCAGCCCCCTCAACTACACTGTAAGGCCTGTCAGTTGCTGCTATCATCCCTACACCGTAAGCCCTCGCACTCTGTCACGGATTTCTATCATGGCCTCTACACCTGCTTCACGACCATCAAGGCCAGATCTTTTTGTCAATGCAGCTTCCCCCCTTTCTCTCTTTGATTTTGCTCCCCTTTCTCTATTCATCTCCCTTCGCCCCTTCCTCCGATCCAGGTGGTGCCCTCTGAGTGGTGGACAGACGTCTCTGGCGGCCTCTACAGCCGCTTCACGGCAGCCATCAAGGCCAAAAACCCAGCTGTCAAGCCGATTCTCTCCATCGGCGGTGGTGATGCCGTCAGCGCACCGCGGTTCTCTTATGCCTCAGCTACTCAAGCACGGCGCACTAAGTTTATCAACTCGGCGATTGCTTTAGCCAGGAAGTATGGTTTTCAGGGGATTGACATAGATTGGGAGACTCCAAAGGGTGTTCCAGCGCGCTTTTCAGCGCTGATTCAAGATTTCCGGGCAGCTGTTGATGCTGAAGCTGCCCGGACAGGTCGGGTGAAGCTCACGCTGTCGGCAGCTGTGCCGGGGTATACGGGGGAGATTGATTCCAGCTTCCATATCCCAACACTTAACAAAGTGCTGGATTGGGTGGGAATCATGACGTATGACATGCATGGGGAGTGGGAAGCAGAGACTGGGCAACACACAGCCCTGGAGGACAAGAAATATCCATTGGCAAGTATTAAGGGGTCTGTGCCAGTTTTTGTTGCCAAGGGATTGGCTCGAAGTAAGCTGGTGCTGGGTCTGGCGTCGTATGGTCATGCGTGGACTCTCAAGAATGCCGCGAATCATGGGGTTGGGGCACCTGCTAAAGGAGGCCCCACTATGAGCTACAAGGAGATAGTCACGCTCATTGCGAATGGTGCCACGGCTGTGTTTCATTCCCCGACTTCATCGATGTATGCTTACAAGGGGACGAAGTGGGTCGGGTACGACAATCCTGACACAATTGCACTTAAGGTAAAATATGCAAAGCAGCAAGGGCTGGGTGGTTACATGTTCTGGTCATTTAATCAAGATAATGGATATAGTTTAGCCAAGGCCGCTGCTTCAACGGTTTAGGCTTAGTCACCTCATCAGCTGCTGTTTCGTATATATACATATACATTAATGGTTATTTCTGGAAATGGCTGTCCCGAAGTTGGTCCAGAAAACCTGAAGCGGGGATTGGATGACCCAGTGAGCCCAGCTTCATTCCCGAAGAAGGGAAAGAGGGTCGATGGTTGATTTTGCCAGGGAAAATCATGAGGTAGCTTCGAACCCCCCAGAACTATTTGTAGTTCGGTTCGACATTCTTGACGTTTTCTGCCGAATGTCGGTCCCATGCCACGATATCAGCGACTCGATCATTCGCCTTCATTTCAGGCAAAACAAGCAGGAGGTACAGCAGGCACCTCGGATTCTTCGCAGATTCTTCAAGCATTGCTGGTTCTTTTATCTCGAGTTCTGGTGTCCTCAGGACAGCGACAATAGCAACCAAAATCAGTCATTAGCTTGTTTCCATGGCTCCTTCTTGGCGCCTCCCTACGAGCGAGCTTCGCGTCACGGCCACCTTACTCCACGTCGCCATCGCTTTGACTTTAATACCAGCAGCGCGCGCTCAACAATGCTCGAGCTCCTCGCCGTGTAATCCGCGTAGCCTATGCTGCAGGTCCGTTTTGAGACGCTCACCACCCGAGCCTAGGCTTTCATCATGATGATGCTGCCGGAGATCAGCTGACGGCCTTCCTCTCCCTGCTCCTTCCCATCGTCTCATGCTTCAGAACACGCCGTTCGGCCCGACGGTGCTTTCAGAGCACAAAAATCTCTTCATAATATTTTTCTTGGAGTTCTGGAAGGTCTCACAACCTCAGCTTCCAAAGACGCAAACTCAATTCTTTTCTAAGCTCATTGATTTCTCATGCGAGCGCTTTCTTTTTTTTTGTATTGATTTGGCTTCACAGCCAGGCCCTCCCCCACTGCACTCTCTCTCACCTCTCATCCGCCCTGTCTCTTCGCCTCTTTCGTCCCTTCCCCTTCTTCTCCTACCCGGCGCCACTTTAGAGTCGGCTCAAAAGTCAAACGCGGTTCCATCCACCCTTCTCTTCGCCCCTCTCGTCCCTTCCCCTTCTTCTCCTACCCGGCGCCACTTTAGAGTCGGCTCAAAAGTCAAACGCGGTTCCATCCACCCTTCTCTTCGCCCCTCTCGTCCCTTCCCCTTCTTCTCCTACCCGGCGCAACTTTAGAGTCGGCTCAAAAGTCAAACGCGGTTCCATCCACCCTTCTCTTCGCCCCTCTCGTCCCTTCCCCTTCTTCTCCTACCCGGCGCCACTTTAGAGTCGGCTCAAAAGTCAAACGCGGTTCCATCCACCCTTCTCTTCGCCCCTCTCGTCCCTTCCCCTTCTTCTCCTACCTGGCGCCTCTCATCCTCCTGCCTTGTCCGTCGCTCTCTCTCTTGCATGCAGCAAGTGGGGCTGGTGCGGAAGCAACTCCTCCTACTGCGGTGCGGGATGCAAGAACGGGCCGTGCTCTGGTGAGGACGATTCAGATGCCTCAGATATATTAGAGATGCTTCGGATAACATGATTTAGATTTTTTTGTTGATTCATGTATTATTTCGGATGTTGTTTCTGGTCATTCGATGTACTCCGGTGCTTCAGATGTTCAGATGAGTAAGATGAGTCATATGATTCATATGGTTCAGGTGATTCACGTGGTCATGCCAGATTGAGTGAACATCATCCCAACCCATCCATGCGCACTTGCATGCACATGGACATGCACACATGCATGCACATGGTCATGCACGCATGCAAACACTGTTCCGACAGCGTCATCATCTGCTCCACCGCTTGCGCTGCACGCACGGGCACGGGCACTGGCTCCCTTTTGCCACGTTACTTACTACCCAACTGGAGCAGCATCAACCCCAGCACGTTTTCATGATTGCCCCCCTTTGCGCCCACCCCTTTGCTCCCTTTGCTCACACCTCTCGCCCTGCATGTGCTCAGCTTCCTTCCGCCGCATCACCTACTTCCCCAACTGGAGCGGCATCGACCCCAGCACCTTCCAAGTGAACCACTTCACTCACATCGTCTACGCCTTTGCAGCCATCAGCCCCCTCAACTACACTGTAAGCCCTGTGCTCTCCTGGCACCGTACCACTTTGCTTCATCAGTCAACACGTGCTTCACCTTTTTTCTCCCATCCAGGTGGTGCCTTATGAGTGGTGGACGGACATCTATCACGGCCTCTACACCCGCTTCACAGCAGCCATCAAGGCCAAGAACCCAGCAGTCAAGTCAGTTCTCTCCATCGGCGGTGGCGATGCTGTCAGCGCACCGCGGTTCGCTTATGTTTCGGCTACCAAAGCGCGCCGCACAAAGTTCATCAACTCAGGGATTGCGTTGGCGAGAAGGTACGGGTTTCAGGGGATTGACATCGACTGGGAGCTTCCAAAGGGGATGCCGGGCCGGTTTTCAGCTTTGATTTTGGATTTTCGGGCAGCAATTGACGCTGAAGCTGCCCGGACACGTCGTGCGAAGCTCACGCTCTCGGCAGCTGTGACAGGATATGCGGGGGAGATTGATTCCTGCTACCAGATATCGACACTTGACAAAGTGCTAGACTGGGTGGGAATAATGGCGTATGAGTTTCACGGGGAGTGGGACGACGTGACTGCGCAGCACACTGCTCTGGAAGACAAGAAAAACCCACTGTTGAGCATCAAAGGTGCTGTTGCAGGTTTTATTGCCAAGGGTTTGTCAAGAAGTAAGCTGGTGCTGGGTCTGGCATCATATGGTCATGTGTGGACGCTCAAGTCTGCTGCAAGCCATGGGGTTGGGGCATCTGCTAAAGGAGGTCCCACTATGAGCTACAAAGACATTGTGAAGTTCATTGCTGGTGGTGCTACATCTGCATTTGATTCGCCATCCTCGTCGATGTATGCTTATAAAGGGACCAAATGGGTGGGGTATGACAATCCTGACACGATTTCTAAAAAGGTCAAGTATGCCAAGCAGCAATGGCTGGGAGGTTACATGTTCTGGTCTTTTGATCAAGATTACAGATATAGCTTAGCCAGGGCTGCTGCAACAGTAGCTTCTACCTAGTCAACAAACAGTTTGTTTTCATATTAGATGTAGTAATGGTAGCTGTTAATACTGGTCCTACACTTGCTTTTCTGTTGATGACCTTAAAAGATATGTATCACAAGCTGGCTGGTCTTGTGCTTTTTATAATTCCTCCCTGATATTTTTGCATAATAAACGGTATGCTGTTGAAATCCGAAGTGCAGCTATCACGAGCAGTAGCGGAGTGACCAGAAACAAAACGGCTGAACTCAGGGCGTATCCCTGGGTGGTGGCAGGGCCACTGTAGATGGCAGAGTTGGTGGCATGCGGGAAAACCACATGCCACCAACATTTTTACCGAGGCGCGCACGACTCGTATTTGGTGGCATTGAAGTGACATTTTTGGGACATTGCCCAATCACGAACCTGTATTCGCGCGCCAAATTTCCTGACACCAACCTGGCGTTTTATGTGTTCGTGGCAGGCTGCCATCTACAGTGGCCCTGCAGACATCCAGGGATACGCCCTCAGCGGCCTTCGAGAGTTGCCTATCATCGAGGGCTGACAGGCGAAGTTGATGTTGGCAGGAGATCGGACGGTGGACATGGATATGGTCCCGTCGCTGCTGCGCGGGTGCATTGTGCAATCTCGAGGCTACTATTTAGTTGAGGCTGAACGTTGAAGTCTACTTTTTAGAAATTACTGTTTCTCTTACCTAGGCCATCATAGGTATTTTCTGCTGATTCGTTGTTGTCGCTACTTTTCAGGAGCGCGTTTCCCTAAGCTGTGTGCTCTTACGGCGTTGCTGTTGCATCTCACCAGAGTAGTCAGCTGTTCGTATTCCGGCTTCGTGCTTCGCCATAGCGGGAGCAGCCCTCGCGGAAAGAACTCCGCGGGGAGCTTGCGTTTGACCCGTAGCGAGGTCGTATCTAGGGTCAATAGCCGAAACATACGCACGCAGACCACGCGATCGAGCAGTTACGCGAGCAAGCAAGCTAGTTTCCATATGAGAATGGAGAGACGGATTTGTCCGCGTTTGAGACGGCGGAAACGTTAGCTAGCATGCGCTCGTAATGAGGCACTCACAGGACATGGCGCCGTGACGAGGAGTGGCCCAGAGTGATTTATAGTCTGTTGCTTGAAGACAATGATACGCATTTCAGCAATGCAGGAGTGATATACAGGCCAAAAATAGGCCATAATTAGCTTAAACGTAGGACATAGGTTTGCCCTAAAGCGGCATAAGTAGGCCGGTAGGCCATAAGCAGCCTGCACTAGCAGATCAATGGGATTCGGTCAAAGCCCTGGGACCGCGAGCAGCAGTTCTGGCAGCAATGGCAGCAACGGGGACCGCGGCAGCGTTTCTTTCATCGGCAGCGGGGGAGTCTCGTTCTTCAAGTCTTTATTCGATTCGTCTCAGAAAGCAGCTACTAAGACGGTAGTGGTAGAGGATGGCGACACGCTCTGGGACCTCTCCGTGAAATTCGGCGTGGATTGCGAGCAGCTGCAGGCGTTTAACAAGCTGACGTCGGACACTATTTACTCCGGGGACGTTCTTAATATCCCCGTCTCCCCCGTGCGCGTGTCCCTTTCTGAAACGGCGCAAAACTCTGCCGGAAACGCCTCCGCGCGCGTGTCCCTCTCCGCGCCCCCGCTGCTGACCCCCGCGCAAGCAACCACTTCCCCTTCACCCTCTTCCTCCCCCTACGCGCGAGAGTCCCCGCAGCCGTGCTTACGTGTCAGCACTACCGCCACCGCGACCGCGGCCGCCAGCACCGCCAGCACCTCCAACACCGCCGCGAACAGCAGCCCCGAGGGCCTTCGCGACAGCAGCGGGAGTAGCGGGAGCGGCGGGAGTAGCGGGAGCGGCGGGAGCAGCAGCAGCAGCGGGAGCAGCAGTGGGAACGGGGGGAGCAGCGGGATGGGCGAGAGCAGTGGGAGCGGCGCAAATGCCTCTACTTCTAGCAAAAAGGAGATTAAGACCAAGTCAGTCTTAGTCCGCGATGGTGACACGGCGTGGGACATCTCCCTGCGCTTCGGGCTCACTCTAGACGAGCTATTATCTCTTAACGCGAGCATTCCCGACCCGCTATACCCCGGCGACGAGCTATTGCTGCCTGCAGACGCGGTGGAACGGCCGCGCGCGCTGGTGGCGCTGGCAGGCGTGAAGGCGAAGGTGAAGGGCACGATGCGCAATGCAAACTTCTGGGACGTGTTTCCGCCGCCCAGGAGTGAGTTGAGGGGAAGGGTTAGGATGTAGGGAGGGTGGGAATGGGTGGGTCTGATGTGCTACTACGTCTGGCGGTGGTGTTGCTTGTGCACTGGTGGCGCTGAAAGGAGTAAAGGCGAAGGTGAAAGGCACGATTCGCAATGCCAACGTCTGGGACGTGTTCCCGCCTCCTAGGAGTGGTGAGTAGGGGGGTGAGAGGGAATGTGAGAGGGTGGGAATGGGCGGGTGGGAAGTGGATGAGTGTGACACGCATGTCGAGTGACGGACAGGCTATACCCCGACAACGAGTAGGTGAAAGGCATGATGCGGAATGCCAACTTGCAGGATGCGTTTCCACCACCCAAGAGAGAGTTTGGTCGGCGGGAAAGGAAGTGGGCGGGAGCGAGCAGGTGGAGTGGGTGGGGAATGAGTTTGGGTGAGGATGTGAGTGTTCCATTACCCAGGAGTGAGAAGGGGGATGGAGAGGGGAGCAGGTGCGGCACCGCAAGCGGTACCGTGTTCTGCTTGATGCCGCCCAATACATTAAGACCAGCTTCATTGAACTCACTCGTCATCCCATTGCCCATCCTCGCCCGTGCATACCAAAACATTCAGGCCTAATGCAAGTGCTACCATGTGCTGCCCCGCCTCCATTGAACCCACTCGTCCGTCCCTTTGCCCATCCTCACCCTTGCGTGCTACTCCCCCCTCAGACATTGATGCCCACCGCAAGCGCTACCGAGTGCTGCTGGATGCCATGAGATACGAGGAGACGAGTTTGTATTGAGCCCACCGATCAGCATTCCCCTTAGCCCTGCCAAACTCGCACCACGTACAGACATTGATTCCTACCGCAAGCGCTACCGAGTGCTTCTGGATGTCATGAGATACGTTGGTATGTCGTTACCAGCTTTATCGAACCCACTCGTCCGTCCCCTTCCACGCCTGTCCCCTTCCCTGTCCTCCCTCCCACAGACATCGACGCCTACCGCAAGCGCTACCGCGTGTTGCTGGATGCAATGAGATACGTTGTTGTGTTGTTACCAGGCTCATCGAACCCACTTGTCCGTCCCCTTCCATGTCCTCCCTCCCACAGACATCGACGCCTACCGCAAGCGCTACCGCGTGTTGCTGGATGCGATGAGATACGTGGAGACAAGCTTCATTGAACCCGCCCCTGTGGGGGATGATGGGCTGTCCATCGGCCCCCTGCAGATCAGGTGTGTGAACTGTTGAACGTGCACATGAGGGCGAAAAGGATTGTCACTCTAAATTTTCACAAAAGTGACACAAACGAGTGCTGTTGGATGCAATGAGATTCGTAAAGACCAGCTTCATTGAATTGAACCCCCCCCTGTGGGGGATGATGGGGCGGGCTCTCCCCATTTCCTGCCCACCGCCCACCTCCGCCCCCTCTCCCCCCCCACCTCTCTCTCCCCAGCAGCGACTATCACACGGACGCGTGGTGGCCGGAGCACCTCCCGCCCCTGTCTTCCTCGCTCCCCCCCTCTTAGCACTGATTTATTATCTCCTCTGTCCCCCCCCACTCCCTCCCTCTCCCCCCCCATTCAGCAACGACTATCACACGGATGCGTGGTGGCTGGAGCACCGCCCGCCACTGTGTTACGAGGACTGCCATTGGTCGGTGGAGCACAGCGAGCGCACCGTCATCAACTACTGGCTGCGCTACTGCCCCTGGTCCCTCGAATTCCACGACCACGAGACCCTCGCTCGCACGCACAATGGCGGCCCGGGATTCTACCGATACATCAAAACAGCTACCTACTGGTGAGGGTCACGGGTTTGGGTTCAAGGTTTGAGGTTTGGGTTGAAGGCATATGGTCAACTACTGGCTGCGCTACTGCCCCTGTTCCCTTGAGTTTCACGACCATGAGACGCTTGCTCGCACACACAATGGGGGCCCGGGGTTTTACCGATACATCAAGACCGTCACCTACTGGTGAGGGCTTAGGGTGGGGGTTCAAGGGTTGGGGTACTACCTCCTGGTCCCTAAAATTCCACGACCATAAGATGCTCGCCAGCACGCTCAATGGGGAGGAGGGGGGGGGGGGGGGGTGTTATTGTTACGTCACGAGTGCCTCTTACTCGTGAGGTGTTTTGGTACGATCTCCATCCATATCCCCTCTCCCCGTCTCCCCTTCTCCCCTTCTCTCTCCCTCTCTTCCTCTCCTGCTTCCCCCTCCGTCCTCTCTCTCTCCTTCCCTTCCCTTCTCTCAAAACTTCACTCTCTCGATGTGCAAGCCACCTTAACAACCTCACTCTCTCCCCCTTCCCCTTCCGTCTAATAAGTGTATTTCCGCTTTCATTTGCTTGTCGCATTTACAGGCGGAAGGTGAAGAGTGCGATGCGGCATGCGGGGTGGTTCCGAGTAATGCCCGAGTTTGACCCACACCTATCATCTACGCACTTGCATCCTCATGGCATTCTTCCCTTGTTCCAGAAGCACTTCCCGTTTTCCATCGCCATGTTAGAACCAGAACCTCATTCAGGAATTTATCAAATCTGATGTAAATGTGTCAGAATCATTATTTGTAGTAATGTTTGCCCATAAGGGGCACAATTACCGCGTACCATATCTGTGCTATTTAAAAAGTATGCTAAGTATATATGGTTTCCGAAGCACACTATGTGGCGTTTTCCATTGTTAACGGTCGCTTACCCTGTCGGTTCTAAGGCAGCACCAGCCACCGCTGCGACGGAATTTTATACGGCAAGCGACAAATAAAACAGTCGACCTTTCACACAACGAGTTGTTCAGCGAGTCACAAATGTCACAACGATCCACCGCCGGAGGCATCCTTCGCTCCCTTTCCCCGCCTCCCCAGCGCCTTTCCTCGGGCGTCTGTGCGGCAGCGGAATTCACGCGGTGGCTGGGGTTCGAGATTCGAGAATTTCGCAAGAATCCTCCAACTTGGCGAAAGCGCGGGATGCACTTTTGCGCGAGCTTCAAATTTGGAGATTTTGCACATTGGAGTTCAATTCATCCATTCCCTCCACAAATCAATCCCTCAAAATCAAGTCTATCCAAGCTTCCAGCCTCTTCATCTCACCAGTCGATCAGTCGTCCATCATCTCACTTTCCTGTAACTCGCTCATTTTCACGTATTCTCAGTTATCTATCGGTTCCGTCGCCAGAGCTACTAGTCTCAACTCGCTCCATTTGGTCCACCTACATTGACGCACACCTGCGGTTTCCCATTTCTGCCTATCGTTGGACAATGGCTGCGATTCATCGCTTCGCCGTGCTGCTGCTAGCCGTAGTCGCGGTATGCCACGTCAGCGACGTGTCAGCACTCAACCCCGGGGAAGTGGGGCGAGCCATTGACTTCATCGGGAAGCGGCCGGAATACAAGGCGATCTTCAAATTTGTCGACGACTATTGTACGTTGTGCATGCAGCCTCACTCATCTTCACTCAACCTCTCTCAACCTCTGTACTGAAGCCTCGTCAAAAGGCTCTCTTATCCGTTTTTGGCATGGCGGAATCTGTCAAAGAGTGGTTAAACTTGGCACTTCAATTTCTAATGCTCAACTGCCTGTGTTTCTATTTGTGTCCCAACCCCAATTTCTTCCCACCAGTGAAATCTCTCATCCCGCTGACCGACCTGACTGTTCTTCTGCCCGCCAACATCGCACTGCTTCGCAACTACACCAAGGACCAGCAGACAACAATTCTGTCGTACAACACAATCGCCACGCGCTACCTCTTCCGCAACCTCACCAACATGCCGGCCGGCACGGAGCTCGACACTCTCGAGGGAAACATGGTCACGAAGCGCGGCCCCAAGAGCCTGCCGACCGTTACGTTTAAGGGCGCGGCGAAACTACCGAGCGTGCTGGCTGTGCCAAACCTGTGGGTTGGTACGGACTTCACGATCCAGGGCACGAGCACGCTGCTCATCCCGCCGGAGCTGCTGACGCCCGAGGCTGACTCCATCCGCGGTGCGGTCAGAGGAACTCTCCGCGGTACAGTTGGGTTCGCCTTGGATGGCGCTGGTGCTCTTCTGAGGCCGCATGTCGCCCGCCCCTAGCTCATACGGAACTAATAGTTGGTAATGGTCTAATTCCGCTTTTCCAATGCGGGAATTGTGTTAGCAGTAGGAATTCTGCTTCTAAGCTGACTTGTAAATGGTCATGATATTATACGTAATAATGAGGGAATTTGCGCCGCAGCACCCTTCCCAATTGGAAAACTAACCGTGTAAGGACGTATTGGTAACTTATATGCACGCAACTAGCTATCAACTAGTTATTATCAACTACCGAATGAAGAATGAAGCCAAGTGTAAGGGCGTATTCCTAGCTTCATGTCATCCTGGCTTCGTGTCATCCGAAATTGTGGGATCGAAAAGGAAAATTCAAAGCTCGAAACGCGGGTTTCCCGATTGGCTCTCACAATTTCGGATGACACCAGCTCGGGATGACACGAAGCTAGGAATACGCCCGAAGGAAGAGAGTGCAGGAATTCAACATCAAGAGTGTCATTATCAACTAGTACTGCAATTTAGTGATCCAAATAGAATTTCACTATCTAAGCAAGAGTACAATGAGCGAAAGCATGAGCAAACAATATATAGCGAAACTACAGTGGTAACGGTAATGAACTGTGGGTGACGCGCGACGGGCCTGGAACCGAGGTTTGGGAAAATGTGGAGACGGAGGCCCGAAGCGCGGATTACCTGCCGAGCCGTGAGGTCGGGGTGCGACGTCTGAAGGTGGCGGGAGGATTGTCGATGCGAGGGTTGCGAGTGGTACCGTAATACCCCGGATATAAGCGCACCTGCGCTTATAATAAAACATGGTTTTTTTGGGGGGTGCGCTTATAATTGAGTCAGATTTATAAGCGCATGCGCTTGTATAAAGAATAAAATGAAAATCAATTTTGAACACACCATTGTGAAGCTCTCAATAAGGCGAATTCAACCGACCATGCACCAAGTGGGATCGTGCATGGTTTTCAGGCAGAAACCGCAGCGGTTCGGTTTCCCACCGTACAATGTTGTATGGAAACATCGAATGTGACAGCCGTGACGAGGATGTTGTCGTGCGGCCCAATCAGAGCCGCATGCGCTGCGTGGCATGTGCATTCGGGCCGAACCATCTCGAAGGTTCGGCAAGATTCCCTGCCAGCGCAACGTAGATGCTGCCACGAAGGCGCCTCTACGGGAGTGGGCGGGGGTTTCTGTTAACGGGAAAGGAGTGTTGGCCCCGCCCTCGCTTGGGCAACGCCGACAACTTGGTCGGATGTACGGGAGTAGCAGCCGACCGCCCACAGTGGGATAGCTGCTCGACAGGTTACGTCGAGCTGCAGCGGACCACTGTGGTGTTGCTGTCGACCAGGATGCTCGACAGCTGCACCTGACTGGCCTGGGCGACGGGTGAGCCGTCCGGGAGGTCGACGAAGCAGTCCGTCGACCTACAGTTCGACGGGGAGGTCTATGGAGCATCCCGTCAAACTGCAGCTCGACCGGGAGGTCGACAGAGCAGTTCTGGTCGACGGAAGGGGTCCGTCGACCAAGGGGTAGCTTGACGAGAGGTGTGGTCGACCAGGAGCGCCCGGTGGTCGACTAGAGGGACCCAGTGGTCGACGGGAGACACCTGGGAGTCGACCAGAGCACCAGGGGTCGACCAGGTCGACCGGGTAACCTGCTCGACGAGTTCTGCGGAGGCACGCGAACGTCCTCGAGATCGCGATGGTGCAGGCGACTTCGGGCTGGTATCCCGAAGTCGATGTGGCTCGTCAGGCGCAGACAAACAGCCGACGGATGCCCAACGAGGCAAGTCGGGCCAATCGTCTGCGCACACCTGTGAGCGCGCGCACTGCTGTGTTCTACGGGGCACGCCGTTGACCTGCTTTGTTGGCAGGTCGCCCTTCTGCAATGCTGGCGCGGCTCCTCTACGCAGTGCTGGCAGGCGGTCGACCGAGCTGCGTTGGCGGTCGACCAGGCTAGCTGCAGGGTTGCTAGGTGTCTGATGTAGTCATTGTTGTGATTGCTGCTTGTATCATTCTGGAATCCCAACTTTGCTAGTGGAAACTCTTGCCAAATTCTTCCGTGAATGTGCAAGCTCTAAGGAACCAAGCAAAGCTAAGATCACCTCTAGTAGTTCGTGCCAACCCCTGTAGTCTAGCTCACTACCGTTGTAGAGTTTATCTCCTCATGGTGCGGTGAGCGTGGATCGAACACGCGACCTTCAGATAGGAGCCGACTTTTGCACCTACTAAGTCGTTCGTAGGCCGGCAGCAGCGATAGTCGCCATGGTCAACCCCGTAGTTGATGCGGGTGTAGCGGACACCTTGGAGGCACATTTGGCTGATGCGAGGAGACGCCACGCGAATGGCGAGTATGGGACGATCCCCTTGGTGATCGCCGAGTTGGGCATCCGATCGCAGTGGGCGACGGAACACCCTTCCCGTCCTACTTCTCCTCGACCGGTGCGCAACGAAGGTGGCGTCGACGACGATGTCGACGGTGGTGCACGAGTCAACGGCAGCGAAGGCACGAGGCAGAGAGGAGTGATCAAAGTCGACGGTGGTGTCGACGGAATCCAGGCGCGAGTGCAGCGGTCGACGGCCACTGCAGGAAGCTCGAATGTCGACGTCGATGTTTGACGCCGTTCTCCTCCGCGAAGTGGTGGAGGGCTCTCGGTGATGACACATGTGACAGCGGGCGGGATTGCACCGGCGTATGGCTACTTCAAGTTCTCGCCGGACCGGATCGCCGTCGCTCCGCTGCAAGGTCGATGGGACCTCATCATCTGGAGGGAATCGATCGAGCCTCAGCTGGAGGTCGCCGGGCTGAAGGGCTTCGCCGACGGCACCGTGCCAATTCCGCCCGAGGAGGACGTCGGGCTGCGCGGGGAGTTTCGTTCGGCTCACCTGCTCACCTTCATGGTCATCTCGAGGTGCTGCTCGCCGGTGGTGCAGCTAGCGCTGAGGAGCTGTCGAGAGCGACTAGATGCTGGCCACCAGGCATGGCGCTTCATCATGTCGACGTACCAGGTCCGGGACGACCTGTACATCGGGCAGCTGGAGGAGAAGATGACTCACCTTCGGATGGGAGAGCAGGAGTCGGCGACGGATTACTGCAACCGTGCTCGACGGATCCTGGCTGAAATGCGAATGGCGGGCGCCGAATACTCGACGGCGTCCTACATCACCCACATCGTCAAGGGCTTGCCGCGCAGCTACAATCTCATGAAGAGGATGATGATGGTGCCCGGCACTCGTGAGTCCCTCGACGAGGACTCCATCACCAGCTACATTCTCCAGGATGAGGCGATGCAGGGGGCAGAACAGCCCACGGAGTTCCTTCCGCAGGCGAGTTACGCTGCACCGACGAAGCCGAATTATCAGCAGGAGCAGCGCGGGAAACAAGGCGGAGGTGGTAGCGGAAGTGGGCGGTCAACGAAGGACGTCGACGAGAAGAGGTCGACGCGGGACAAGGGTCGACGAGGTGGTGGTCGACGGCGGGAGTGCTGGATCTGCGGCGACCCCGACCATCTCTCCTTCGAATGCCCCGACCGTGATGACAGCGACGAGGACGACAACAAGGAAGGCCACGGTCGATCGGCCAGTCGCCGCCCCCGTCGTGTTGAGAAGCCGCGCAAGGAGAAGCACGCGTCAAAGAAAACATCCTCGACGAAGGACGTCGACAGCTCCAGCGGCAAGAGCCGAGGCGACGGGGAGGCGTCGTGCTCGATGGTCGGCGTGGTGGAGCCGACGGTCTCGCTAGCACCGGAGGCTGGCGAGGACTTCTAGGCGGTGGCAGCAGCTGTGCAGGCCAACCCGATGGCGGTGCTGCTCGACAGCGGGTGCTCCCACCACCTGATGGGGACGAAATCGGTCTTCGTCGACATGGGACCGAGCGACGGAGTGAAGCACGTGCGTGGGTTCAACGGGGCATTGCAGTCTGTCGAGGGTCGTGGAACTGTTGCTCTGCAAGGGGAGGCCGGGAAGCGGGTGCTCATCCCCGACGTGCTCTACGTTCCGGGTGTTCAGGCAAACCTGTTGTCTGCTGGCCAGCTGAAGGAGAGCGGCGTGCTACTGCAGGGGGATGGCGATGAGATGCTGCTCGTCGCCGCGACTGGAGAGGTGCTCAGTCGAGCACGCTACACCGGACGAGTCCTCTGCACCGACCTTCGCCCCTGCTCGACGCAGTCGCAGTCGACCGAGGTGGTGGCTCTGCGGACGATCGTCTCAGCGACGCAGACGACCCCCGATAGGATGCATGCGCGGCTTGCCCACGTCAGCGTCGACACGATCAAGAGCTCGGCGAAGCACGATGTTGCTATTGGGCTTGACATCACGTCGTCAACCGGAGCAGACCCGCCATGTGTCTCGTGCGTAGGAGGAAAGCTGGCGCGGCACACCTTCCCCGCCAAGGGCTCGGATGCAGCGGAGGCGCTGGCTGTCGTGCACATTGACTTGTGCGGGCCATTTCGGGTGGCTACCAAGGATTGCAGCTTGTACTTCCTGCTGCTGAAGGATCGCCATACTCGATTTGTATGGGCAATGCCGGTCGCTAAGAAGAGCGACGTGCTGCGGGAGTTCCAGCGGTGGCTGGTGCTGGTGGAACGGCAGACGAAGAAGTCGGTGCTGTCGCTTCGCTCCGATCGAGGCGGGGAGTTCCTCGGAAAGGCGTTCACCGACTTCATCGACAGGAAGGGCATCGTCCACGACCTGACGTGCCCCTACACTCCGCAGCAGAATGGCATGGCTGAGCGGGAGATGCGCACGGTCGACGAGTCCGTGCGGACGATGTTGCTGCACATGGGCGTGCAGCACCATTGGTGGCACCTTGCTCTACGACAAGCTGTGTGGGTGCGCAACTGCTTGGAGCGGTCAACGACGCCGCCGGGGACGACTCCGTACCAGCTGCTGACCGGGCAGAAGCCCGACCTTACGCTGGCGCGGGTGTGGGGCTGCATAGTGCAGTTCATGGTTCCCGAGCAGCAACGCGGTGGGAAGCTGGCGCCGAAGGCTCGCTGGGGACTTCACCTGGGTGTGTCGCCGGAGAGCAAGGGCTGGGAA